GCTTTGTAATTTTAAGTAATATGTACCGAATTACACCTAATAAAGTGGGCCTGTTTTGAGTGCGGGAAAAAAAAAATGTTTTTATTATGAATTTTAATTTTATAAATTTTTAAATTTTTGATTGTATATCATATTTTAATGTTTTATATTTTTATTATTGTTTAAAAAAATTTTATTGAATTTTTGTTTTTAAATGATTTTAATTGACTTTTATAATAAATTATATTATATTTAATAAAAAAATAAAAATTTTGACAATAATAAAACTTTAGAAATTATTTATAAAAAATTTTTTAAAAAAATCTAAAAAATAAAATAAATATTAAGATATAATATTGTATATATAAATTTTTAATTTTAGATTTAAAAATTGACAAAATTGAAATTTATAATAAAAATATAGTAAGCGAACTAAAATTTTTAAAAGTAATTGTATATTAATTTTATTTATATATATTATAAAAAAAAGTTATATTCAATTATTAATTTAATTATAGTAAACTTTAAAATTCTCTTTAATCAAATAAAAAAAATAGAATAGATATCTCAAATAAAGTTCTTAAAATTTTATATAAAGTATAAAAATAAGTATTTTTTTTTTTTTAAACCACAACTGGTATTAGATGTGAGCACTTTTTATTAAGAATTAACTTAAATACCTTGGATAATGAAATCTTGAGCATCACATTAATCATCTCATACAAACTATATATTTCTATATACATGCAGATTAATGATAACCTATCACGGTTTTCTCTAGGTGGACCCACTAACCACTCTGTGAGTGGGTCAAACCCAGCTAGAGGCCGGATGGTCAAATATACAGTCATCGATGGCGAAACAGGTTAGTCTAGTAGTGAGTTTTTATAAATTTTTGTATTATATTTGCTAAACTAGGCTGTATAGTATGTATCCGACGGGATTTAATTTTACTCTCCAATACTCCTAAAGATATTATTCGCTCAGACCTCGAAAGGGTGCACTTTACCTTCTTTATCACCACCTGTGGTATTGGATCAGTTGCTTGACTGATTTTCATTTAAGCAGAGCATCATATTGGGATATTCTGAGCTAAAAGGGTGGGGATCCTGGAGACTACTAGGGCAGGGGGTCTGTGGGGCGTTTATGATAGGTTAGACCAGAAGCCTTTCTTCATGCAATCCTTCTGGTAATACGACTGTAGATCTTAGCTCCTGATTGATGATAGGCCAAAAGTCTTATCTTCATGCAGTCTAACCTGATTGAAGCTTGTTTCAGATGATTGGGTATGACTTTCATAGGATAACCGGTAAACCTGATCAGAAGGGTAATTTTGATTTTTGGTTCTTAAGTGGAATTGAACTATGGACCTTGTGATTGCGACCTGGGAGCACTACCACTGTGCTATTGATCCACAGGTCTGTATAAAAATAAGTATTATAAATAGCAATTATTATATTTATTATAAAAGTTATATAAAAAAATAGTAATTACAATATTTTCTTTTTTATCAAAAATAATAATTTACTTTTTAAAAAGTTTTTTTTATAGTAAATCAAAATAATAATTTTATTAATAAATTAATTTTTATTTCAACTATAGTATCATTATTTTGAATAAATATTAATTATTTGATATTATTCTTATAAATATAATCATAGATTCTATATACAGTAGATAATATTGGTTTAATTACAATCTATCACAATTAACTTGTATTAAATACAAATAATATTAATGTAATAATGAAATTATTTAATTAATAAGGCCTTATATTTAATAGTTATTTATAAAAAATTTTTTTTATAAAAATTAGTATATTATATGCTTTATATTTGAACTATTAATTTAAACATATTATTTTTACTAATATTATAAATATTTTTAGTTAACTTGACTTTTTTTAAGTCTAGCTTAGTTTTAATTTTCTATATAACTTATCATTATTTGATTTTTAATTAAAATAGAAAAATTCAAAATATCATGTTTTAAATATTTTAAGAAATGACCAACAAAATTTTCGATAAAAATTTTAGTTATATTGCAATTGTATTTCATTTCAATAACGTTCAATCTCAAATAGGTATCTGAAAATGAACCCTTAAAAAATGTATGAGAACCAAGCAACTATTTAATAACAAGCATCTAAATTTATTCATCTCGAGTCGTATGTGAAAACACATATTCCGCCTTAGCTTTCTCTCTCAACACCCTTCTTAATATCTTTCCTGCTGCACTTTTAGGTATTTGATCAATATACAGCACATCTCGTAACCTTTTATACGGTGCCACTTTGTCAGCGACATATTTCTGTATCTCATAAGATAGTTCCGATGACTTCTCGTAGCCCTGTTTAAGAGTAACATAGGCTAAAGAGTATTCAGTAGCTTCAGCTTCACAGTTATAACCAACCACGGCGGCGTCAGTTATTGCTGGATGTGTGATTAAGATTTCTTCTAATTCTGCGGGAGCGACTTGAAAACCCTATTTTAACGAAAGGCATAATTGAAAGATCCACAGAATCAAGTTTTCAATAATGATTCTTATTTAAGATATGGGGCATACCTTATATTTAATTAATTCTTTAAAACGATCAACAATATATAAATTTTCTGCAAAAAATACATATTTATTAATTTAAAATGCAATTATGTTCCATTCTAATTATTTAAAACGCCATTTACCTTGGCTATCCATAGTGACAATGTCTCCTGTATAGAGAAAACCATCTTTATCAAATGCAGCCTCGCTCGCTTCTTTATTATTTAGATATCCCTGCCGATAATAGCTAGAATTTATATTACTGATAACTCAAAACTACACATCAATTTTAAATTCAAACCTTAGTTATATTTGGGCCTCGAACACATAGTTCCCCAGGTTCATCGTATCCTAATTCTGTAATAAAATTGAGTTACAAAGACAAGTTATTTTTTAAGATAATTTTTATAATAGTTACCCTGTCCATCCGCTGATACTATTTTAGCCTCAATATTAGATACTAGTATTCCAACAGAACCTATAAAAAATTTTGCATTCTGCGTTAGTAATTTATAAAATGAACAATTCATTGATAAATACCTTTAACAATGTTTCTTTCATCAACAAGGCTGATAAGTGGTGACGCTTCCGTGAGTCCTACAATAATTAGGCAAATAACGACTTTAACTGTATTTTTGGATATGCTAACAAAAAATCCATTAATTACCATATCCTTGTTTAATAGGAATATTATAAGTTCCATGTAGTTCATCTATTAATGATTTACCAAGAGGGGCAGCTGAACTAATCATTATTCGTAAGCTCGATAAGTCATAATTTTTGGCAATTGGACTTTTAACCAGCGATAACACGATTGGAGGCACAATATGTGCAATATCGATCTTATATTCCTGAATTATGCGACAGAATGTTTCTATTTCAAATTTTGGAATTGCTATTATAGAGGCTCCCTTTTGCAATAATGATAATAATAATTCAATATTTTGTTTGATTACATTTTTTAGTATTAGATAACAGATAGTTTACCAATACTAATGTAAAATGGAGAAGGGCACACAATCCATAAATGTGGTAAAATGGCTGCATAAAGAAAAATGAGTATCAATATATTATCATT